CGAATGATCGTAACTTGAAATTTCAGAGAAATTTATCCTCTCGTGGCTCTTTGATGATTGGTGTACGTATTAGGTTGTCCGTAAAGTGTCCTTCCATCGCAAACGTGTTTTTTTACAACAGTGCACCTCTGTATAAACGTGAAAGCAAGTTGAAATGTGAAATGTTTGTGCGACGTTTATGTGGGATGGTGTAACGTCAGGGAAGGACGTGGCGTGAGGGGTAATTGTTTATAAACGTTGTCAAGATATGTTAATGTTGTCAAGGAGCGTTGTGAGCGTGAGAAAATGAGCATGGAAAATGCTGTCAGAGTTGAATTTATCGTGGTCGTGTGAAGTTCGTTGTGTCGTTGTGACGTAGAATTAGTGAGAAACGAATACGCGGTATTATATTCGATTTTGTGCGAGTGCAATGATATTGTATTTATCATACTGTTTTCTATTAACTTATAATATAACATTCCTACATTTATTTCGATAGAATAAAATCGATCGTACGTAATTCGACAAAACAATATAAAATAAAAAACGTTGTGCGTCTATTATTTCCTCATAAAACGAAAGACTTTTCAAACAAACTAATATTTTGTCGTAGGTTTCGGTAAGATTCGATAAGATCGAAAATAATCAGTTTGTAAATCAACTTGACTAAATAACGAGGATCGAAGAAATTCTGCGTCTACTTGAAAGAAACAACAGCGTGTAAATTCTACGAATATATTTTTCACTTGAATAACATTTCCAGCCTACGTTACACGTGAGACTACGAGTGTAAAGTTTCGCTAAATATTTTTTATTATTATTTAATTTGTACTTTACAATTTGTCCAGCTGGACATTTGGTAAATTTGTCTAACTTCATTGCTAAATAACATGTGGATGGCTACCCCCAACGGAATACCATCTTCGAGTTTGACTATTTTATTTCTTTAGTGAGGTCAGTGGGGTGTTTTCTTTTTAGTCTTCTCTCTATGAGAGTTTTGCTCGCTTCAGCAGCCAGCTGGTTTGGATGTGTTGCCGTTCTTTCCTTCTCTTTTTCTGCGTATTTCTTCTTTGTTTTCTTGATTTCTTCTTTGACCGTTGGTATTTTTAAGTCTTTGCGTATATCCTCGTTTCTGACATATCATGGGGCGTTCACTATCGTTCTCAGTATCTTCGATCGTATGTAGTTTATTTACGTGGCTCGTCGCTAAATATTCACAAACATAGCGTTACTATCGAAAGTTTGCTTTGGAAGAGCAGCTCGTTACACGTTCCCCTTCGTACTATTTAGTTGGTAGGTCCGTAGGTACATTTTCACGGATCTTGTTATTTCAACGATATTTATCGCGACGCCGAGAAAAACTTTTAACGATGTTAAATACGATAACTTTCTTGAAAAGCGAAGAAAAATCGTGCTCGGCGTTGGACTCGAGACTGTTTTCATTCAACGTACAGAATTTATACCGGCCAACTATAAAACGTGCCAGCTAGTTCGTTAGTCGACGTTACGTACAATCGTTTTTTTATCGAAAGGATGCCACCGTTTGTAATTTTTGCGATTCGCAAACCGCGTCGCGCGATCGTAAATATGGTCGGGACAAAGGTACGATTAAAAGCTGGCCGGTGAAGAGACAAAGAAGAGAACAAAAACGAAGCGGGGTAGAGGAAAAATCTAGGAAGAATTGAAAATACGCGTCACTGCTAATTGGCCTGTGTGCCGATTCCATCGACTTGTACAAAGGGAGGAAAAATCAAGACCGAGTCTGCTCGCATCGTTCGAATAGCCAAACGTTGAAGTTTGATTTATCTCATTAAGGAGAGAATCGAGCTTAATTTGCCCCATCAAAAATGGAATTAAGCTTAATCTATAGCGCACGGCCCCGAGCAAATGCAATTAATTAGCCGAAAAAACGAAAACAAATTTCAGCGAGCGTCACGAACGGCGTTCGGTTCGCTCGACGATGAACGCTTGTTTTTCGAGGATCGCGCGTCGAATCAATTGACGGAGAACTGCGAATAAACTGACAGAAATTCTGCTCGATGTTCTTTAGCGGTCTTTCACTTGCGATTCAATTTGAAAAGGAAACACGAATAATTGGATGATACGTCTAAATCGCAGAGAGAAGGATTTATATGAAATTTTTATAAAACCGAGAGCAGAAAGAAACGTCAAATAAATCAGCGAAAAAATCGCTAGATAGACCGGTGTTGATTTAGCGAATGATAATCGGGTTAGCAGCAGCCTCTGTCTGGCACAAAAATATTTGCCAGAGATCTCAAAAAAGCTTCGACGTTTTCAATCGTGTTCGCTCTTCATCCAGTCCGTTTATTTTCCTTTTATTTTATTTCTCTTCGTTCCTATTTGGTCTCGTTGTTTTGCCATGAAATTAAAGAAAATCGAAGTTTAAACGAAACTGACAGTCGAATAGAGATTCGGCAGCGAGGGGAGGCGAATGAAGCTTCGATAGCGTCAAACGGGATATCTTCCATGAACAGAGCGAGAAATATTTGCCCGAGCATTTGAAATTCTGAAGCTGCCTTTTTCTGAAAGACGAGATTCCTTCGAGAACAAGTGAAAAGCGAATAAACGGAAAATTATCCAGATACCCATTTAAATTACCATCCACCGTTAATTATAGTACTACACGCGGCAAGACGTTCCTAAAGGAATAGAAACATAAATTATATATAAATACGATAATCAATTACATCCATACGTACGTCCCTCGATCGTTCCTCGATACAACAATTAAAAAATTAAATACTTTGTTCCTACAACTATGAAACTTATTGCGTAGCCAAACGATATACGCGACGACGATGTACGCGAATAAAAGGAACGACGTAACGATCGATCAAATGGAACGACTGAAAAATTAAATACATTCAACTCTGCGACCATGTCAGACCCTATAAAATATTTGTGCGTTTTTGAACGAGATTTCATCGCAAAGACCGTGCCATCGAGATCGAAACACGTTCAGCAAGTTGATATCGCGAAAGGTGGAAAGTTGGAGCTGGCAGAGAGGTTCTTTGGATTCTGGCGGGATTTCAAATTTTCTTACAATTTAGCGAGTTCCTCGTGCTTCTATCGACCGGCTTACGAGGCAATTTAAGTCGTCCGATGGGATTCGCGACATTTTCGGCGGATTTGCAAGCTTGTTAGCCGAGTTTCCTGCGATATAATGCGGTCCTACTAACTCGGCTCGTTCCACTTCCGAGGACGCAGCTATTCCTTTTAAAATTACGCTTGTCGATGTTGGCGTAAGTTTGGTCGCGCGCGTTCATTGGCTGGAGGAAATAGTTGCAGCGGAAACTACACTGTTCGTCGCTCAAGTTGTTTCCGTGAAGTTTGCGTTTCATTTCTCGGCTTGGTTGCATTAATAAAGGAGAAGCATCCTCGGTCTGGAGCTTGAACAGAATAATTATTGTGGCTCGTTGAGTTGTTAATGTCGCTATACTTGCGATAATTAAGAACAGTGGCGATGTTATTCTCTTTCGATCGTC